CCTCTATGGCAGGAACCGGAAGACTTCCCAGAGGAGGTGCTGCTTAAGTGGGGCCTTGAACGCTGAATAGGAGGTCTCCAGGCAGGGAAAGAGGGGGCGATCTTAATGCCCTTGGGACAGGACCTACCCTTCCTGCTCTGTTATAGACAACCCTGCTAGGACCTGGGGGTAGGGGCTAAAGTAGGCGACAGTGTCTGTTTTCATTTACTTTTCACTTTCCTGTTCCAAAGACCTTCTGGGAAGCAGAATTGTTTCAGGCCAGTATAACAACATGGTTACATTTCGTCATATCTTCTGGTGCATTTACATGTTTGTCTCTTCAGTGGACCATACATTCCTTGAGGACAGGGGCCACATCTGTCATGTTCATCTCTATGTCCCTCTGCTTTTCCTCCCCAACCAGGATGGTGTGAGGAAGACTATAGGAGAGGTACTAATCAATGTCAAATGACTAAATGAAAGAGGTACCATGGATGGGCATGTTGTAGGGAGGCAGTGTTCTTTGTTTTGTGATCAATCTGTTGACTTTCATTTTATCTGTTTAGTTAGCAAATATGTGCTGGTTGCCTGCCCTGTGCCTATAGCTCTGTGTGGGGTTCCAGAGTTCAGCTGTGTCTGAGACAAATGTGGTCCTGCTCACACACAGCTTACACTCTAGAGAGAGGCAGCTGACAAGTAACTACAAGGATGATGAAGAGGGATTGTGACATGTAGACCAGGGAGTGGTCTGGGTTAGCGATAGAGGAAAAGCCCCAGGAGGAAATGAAATTTAACCTGATACCCCCAAAATAAAAATTAACCATTTAGCTAACATTTTAATAGTGCTTATCATGTGACAGACACCACTGAGGGCTTTACATGTTTAACTCATTTAGTTCTCACAATTGTCCTAGGAAGTACAGACTATTATCCCATTTTAGAGATGAACACAGAAAGTTTGAAAAACTGGCCCACAGGGACTTCCCTGGTGGCAAAGTGGTTAAGAATCCACCTGCTAATGCAGGGGACACGGGTTCGAGCCCTGGTCCGGGAAGATCCCACATGCCGTGGGGCAACTAAGCCCGTGCACCACAACTATTGAGCCTGCGCTCTAGAGCCTGCAAGCCATGACTACTGAGCCCGTGTGCCACAACTAATGAAGCCTGTACACCTAGAGCCCGTGCTCCGCAACAAGGGAAGCCACCACAATGAGAGGCCCGCGCACCGCAACAAAGAGTAGTCCCCACTCGCCACAACTAGAGAAAGGCTGCCTGCAGCAACGAAGACCCAAAGAACCAGAAAAAAAAGATAAATAAATTTATTAAAAAAAAAAAAAAAAACTGGGGCTTCCCTGGTGGCGCAGTGGTTGAGAGTTCGCCTGCCGATGCAGGGGACGCGGGTTCGTGCCCCGGTCTGGGAGGATCCCACGTGCCGCGGAGCGGCTGGGCCTGTGAGCCATGGCCGCTGAGCTTGCACGTGCGGAGCCTGTGCTCCGCGGCGGGAGAGGCCACAACGGTGAGGGGCCTGCGTACCGCAAAAAATAAATAAATAAATAAAAATAAAAAATAACAACTGGCCCACGGTCACACAGCTTGTAAGTGGCAGAGCCAGCATTCAAACCCAGGTAGTCCACACTCTGAACGAGGAATTAGTCAGGTAAAGGGGAAGGCCAGGCATACCACTTAGGACAAGAGGTAAGGCTGGACAACAAGGTGGGGAATTTATCCTGAGAGCAATGGGAAGGCATTGGTGGCTTAAAGTAAGAAACATGGGGGGCTTCCCTGGTGGCGCAGTGGTTGAGAGTCCGCCTGCCGATGCAGGGGACATGGGTTCGTGCCCCGGTCCGGGAAGATCCCACATGCCGTGGAGTGGCTGGGCCCATGAGCCATGGCCGCTGGGCCTGCGTGTCCGGAGCCTGCGCCCCGCAACGGGAGAGGCCACAACAGTGAGAGGCCCACATACCGCAAAAAAAAAAAAAATGGGTATGATTAGGTTGCATTAAAGGAGGCAAAGTGGGGGGGAGGGAGAGCAGTGAAGGGGCTGTTAACATGGGCCGAGGCAGAGACAAGATGTTGGATTGGACTACGGTGGTAGCGATGAAAAGGAAGGGATGGGGTTGGCTTAGAGAAGAAAACTGGAGGCAGAACCAATGACCCTGGCTCATGGATGGGATGTGGGGACAGGGGCTAGTGACATTTCTGGACTGGACATGTGAACTGGACACATAGGAGGAGGGAGAGAAGCAGGTTTGGGTGGATGCAGGTTTGGAAATTCAGCCTTTGGTTTACAGAGTTGGATAAAGGGGACCTTGGGGCAGCCAAGGAGCATGTGAAGTGGCCAGTGGGGAGGACACTGGACTGAGGAGGGGGTGTGGGCAGGGGAAGTTACCAGCACAAAGAAGGTCCCCAAAGCTCTGGGAGGTGTGGGTGGGTCCTGAGGGGGTGGAGGAGCAGGGCACCTCGACAGTCTTCCTCAGAACCTCCCAGGGTATGGTTAGAAATGCGAGTCCTCAGCTTCCTCAGAACCTCCCAGGGTATGGTTAGAAATGCGAGACCCATGGAGGCCAATGCCCAGGGTGGAGCCTGGGCCTTGCCTTTTTGCAGGCTTTCTGGGTAACAGTGAGCTGGAGGGCCTTGGGCCCAACTTGGTGAACAGTAACTGAAGACTTGAAAAGAGTAGGAAGATCTGTCGGTGATGGGGAGCCACCCCAGCTCACAGCTGTCCCCCCTCCCCCCTGCCAATGCTCGGGACCTGCAACTCCATTGGTGAGATGCTGGCTCTCACTCAGCTTGGGCAGGAGAATAGCTCCGTGACCTGACTGGCCTCCATTCCTCTCTGCCTTCCCATAGCATCGCTCTTATTACCTCCTTCACCTGCTTATAGCCTTCTCACTCCACCTGGCCCTCAGGATAATGTCCTTTCCTTTGAGCCCCTCAGAGAAGGTCACCCATAAACTGCTCCTAACCCACCTCTCCAGTTTTCTTGCTCATTCTTTCCTTCCTGCTTCCTCTACCCTTCCCCCCACCCCCCTCCATGCAACACTCAGCTTTTCCTGAACGCTTTCCATGTGGCCTGTAACAGGTTGTTCCTTGTACCAGGAATGTCCATGTCCCCGCCCTGATCCCCTCCGGTCCCTCCAGATCTTGCTCAGAGGCTGCCTCCTCCCAAAGTTCCCTTGTTCTGCTCCCCTCTTATTATAGGCCATAGCACTTGCCCTGGGCCTCCCCAGCAGGCCCTCAGCTCAGCCAGCCTCTGGACACAGGGAGGGACATGCAGATCACCTCCAAACACACCCCAACACTTCTTGAGAGTGCAGACCTATTTCTCTTTCAACCCTGTATCTGTTACCGAGAACACAGTGCCATGCACAGGGAAGATGCTACAGGACCTCATGTGGATGAAAATAAGATTCTAGGGGCTTGTTTAACCTGCCCAAGACCCAGACAGTATTCAAGAACTTTAGATCATTGACCACAGGAGCATAGGTTATAAAAGAGAATTTGCTAGTGGATGTTGCTTTCCCTGGCTAAATTGGTGGCATGGCTGGAGTATGCACTAGGAAGTCACAAGCCTATCTTTGAACATCAGTTTGGGCCTGTGATCACCACCCTTAGGCTTAGTCCTACTGACTACACTCCATGCAAAGCTGTCACATGGGCATGACTGGGAGTCCAGAGCCTGGTCCCATTCCCCAGCATCAACCTTGCTCAGGCCTCAGCGTCTTTCCTCCTCCGAGACATGAGTGGGCTGGCTGAACCCCCTTCCCCCCCTCCCCCCCAGCACAGGAGGTTACCCTTTAGGGGAATTGGGATGATTCTGTCCTATTTTCGTATGTCAAGCTTGGCTTTTCTACCTCTCTTGGCTCTGCTTTGGTTGCTCATATTTTTTTTAAGCTTTGCTCCTACAATTAGGTAATCTCGAGCCTCTGAAGGTCCTTAGGAAACCACCGATCCATTGTTTTCCAAATTTGCTAGTCTCACCCGAGGCCCACAGAGTCCGGATCTCTCAGGTGGCCTGGTGATCTACATCATTAGCAAGCTCCTTATGGCTCACTAATCAACCAATCAACTAATGACCCAGTCCCTCATTACAGGCAGGCTCATGGATGGTAAAAAGCCCCACCTGGAACAGTCAGATCTGAGTGCAGGCTGGGGCTCAGCCACTTCAGAGACTCCCAGAAATCATTTTGTGTTTCTGGGCCTCGCTGTTCTCATCTGTGTAATGAGGATGACCAGTGTAATCTTGCCTAATTTGCAGGGTCCTTGAGATGGTTGCACTGGGGGTGGGAAACTCAGGCGCAGTGGGAGAAGAGATTTGCACAATATCATCCACCTCTTCATCTGCCTGTTATGTGCCAAGCGCTGGGAATTCAGCTGGGAACAGCTTGTTGGGGGAGATGACATTCTAGTAAACAATGCAACCAGTAAGTGAACCAGATAATCACGAAAAAGGAAATAAAGGGGTTTTCAAGAGTAAGGGCAAAGGGGTAGGTGGGGCTGGGAAAGACTGCCCAGAAGGGGTCACTCCAGCAGAGACCTGGCTGTTGGGGAGCCGTCTGAGGAGGCCCTGGAGGGTTGTCATCAGCCCAGTGTTGGTAGAGCCAGGAGGTCCCCTCGGGCCAGCCAGGGCGCTCCCAGGACCCTCGGAGGCACGGCGGGCGCGGGTCTTTGTCTCTCTCGGTCTCTCTGCAGCCTCTCCGACCCCCAGTGCTGTTCCCTCTTTGACCTCCGAATAACTTGTTGGCTTCCCCCGGGCTTTGTTTCCCCAGGGTCACCGCCTCCCGGACTCCCGGCAGCCGCCTCGGGCCCTCGTGGGTCCCGCATCTGACACCCGCTCCGGCCCCCACCCCCTACCCGCTCTGAGACTGGGGTCAAAGGCAGCCTGCGTCACGTGGTCGCCGAGCAGCACCGAATCGGCCGGGAGAGCCGAGGGAGAATCCGGGTGGAAGCCGAGAAATCCAGCTCCGATAGCAGCGCCCGGTCCCGCCCCGGCCCCCGCCCCGGGGTGCGCGCCGCACGCCAGCCGGCCGCTCGGGCCTCTGGAGCAGATCTCCGGCCGGCACCCACGTTCCATCACGGGATCGAACCCCGCTCCCTCCGCCGACATTCGGGGAGGTAGGCGCCGGGGACGGAGGGGGTAAGGGGAGACAGGCTGGGGGCCCCTTGGCGCGCGGGTTCGCCCCTCTGTGCTCCGCGGGCCCGCGGTGAGCGAGGCGGCGCGCCCCAACTTGCAGTCTAAAGGGAGACCCCCCACCTCCCACCGCGGGATGAGGGGGGAGGCTGCGCGCTGCCTCAGCGCAGTGCCGGGGACCGGGACTGGGGGCTGGGCACCGAGAGGGAGGGGGAGGGGGAGGGGGAGGAGAGCGGGCGGGAGGCGGGGCGGGCGGCGGCTGCGGCGTGGAGCGGGGGTGGGAGCTGCGGGAGGCGGACGCGAAGGGGTTAAGCCCGGCCCGGGCCACTGCCTGGCAGCGCACACACGGCCTAGGGGACCCAGGCGTCCGGCAGCTCGCCGGGAGCGCCCCCTCCCCCGGGTGGCGCTCCAGCCGTGGCAGGTAAGAGGCTGGGAGGGCAGGGGCGGGCCAGTCCCCTGTCGCCGAGCCCGCGGGG